AGATGCATTATGTAAAGGTACAATTCCCAGTGAGAAATGTAATTGTGTTGTATACCTACAATGTACCAATAAAAGAATTTAATACAAAAAAAAACCACAAAAAAACCTAGAGACAGGAATTCCGGTGGGTATTGCATAAAACTAACAGAAGTGGGCTCTTCATGCACTGCCAGAGGGTTGCACTGAATTTTCTCTTTCCAGATGCAGGTCCAGTACTGTGGTTCTTACTGGATGAAGTGCTCAGAAGCATTTTCTCACTCTATGCAGATAAGTCCATTTCAGGTTTACAGTCACAAGGACACTCAATTGGAAGCACATTATCTGAAAGATAATTTTTGACCCATGCCATTGGAAAGTTCTGGCTTCAGGCACAGCTAGATCCTGGGGCTCCAAAGAATTCAAGTAAGATCAATCTCTCAACGGCAGGTGCCACTATATTGGCTACATTTTCAAGATTCTTGCTGTGGCAAAGTGGTCTCTATACTTTGAATCTTATATCTGGTCTGTTTCATATCTAGGGAGAGAATCTGAGGCTGTCAGAGCAGCCTTGGGGAAAAAGAAGAATCTATTTCATTCTTATTGTGTTGTCTCAGGTTTTGTCACGAACACATCCTGGCCCTAGTCACAGTGGTAAGAGCAATGTGACACCTGCCTGGCTGGGTCTTAACCTGGCCACACCCAGAAGAAGAGCAGACACCATGGAGCCAAAGAGCAGCAGGTTGTGACTCAGGCTCCCACATGCATAGACCTCCTTGCAAGAAAAAGGGATGCAATCTATGAAAATGGAATCATGCAGCTGCTTGTTACCACAGGATAATCATTAAATACTAATATTTAGAGAACCACTCAGGCCATTTTTCAGATGGGTGCATTGAAGCTTACAAAGTATGGGTTGTCTAGATCAATCTTGCTCATTCAAACCCTCTCTCGGATCTCACATTTTAGTGGTTCCTTAGGACAACAGTCTGGGTGGCTGAAGTAGCAGATACGTGTTGTTGGGGAGGCTGGAGTTCTGACATCCAGGTGTTGGCAGGGTTGGTTTCTGGCAAAGCTTCTTCCCTTGGCTTGTAGATAGATGGAACCTTCTCCCCATGTCTTCACGTGTGTGTGTGTGTGTGTGTGTGTGTGTGCGCGCACCTGCATGTGTTTTGACCTCTTCTTCTAATTATAAGGACAGCTGTTCCTTTGGACTAGAGCCTACTGTATATCCTTATTTTAACTTGAGGTTCTAGGGCTTACTTAGGACTCCAATACAAGAATGTGGAGGGAACAAAAAACTAAGATTAGAGGTCCCATTTGACCCAGCTATTCCTCTGCTAGGGATCTTCCCAAAAGAATTAAAAGAATCATACCACAGCAATATATGCACATCCATATTTATAGTGGCACAGTTTGTAATAGCTAAAACTTGGAAACAGCCCAATTGCCCATCAACTGGTGACTAGATAAAGAAAATGTGGGGTTTTTTTAAATAAAATGGAGTATTAGCTGTAAAGAATGAGAAACTAGAGACGTTTATAGCTAAATGGATGCACATTGAGGCGATACTCTCAAGTGAAATAAATAGGACACACGTGTAAATACTGAATAGTTTCTCTGGTGTGAGAAACTGAAAGTCTAAATGAGGAACAAAATGTATATTAGATAATATGAAATAGGAAGAAAACGTCCAAAGGGGAAGGGGAAGGGGAAGTGGGAGGGGTAAGGGAAAGGCAACAAGGGAAAGGAAAAAATATGAGAAAAGGGAAAAACAGAAACCAAGTCTTTGCAAATAGGGAGGGGTGGAGGGGTTAAAGGGAGGGCAATATGATGAATGTCATCATATTGTATACCTAAAATGTACCAATAAACTTAATGAATTAAGAAAAAAAAGAGAATGTGGAATGACACAACTCAGCTGAGAACAGAAACCCAGACAGTGGAGGCTCCATCTCAACACTTACTCCCATGACCATTTGGCAGGGACAAGGTCCAAGAAAAACCACAGTGGCTCTTCAAGTCTTGCACTTGGACATCACACTTGGCCAAAGCAGGTGGCATGAGCGTGACTAACTTCAAAGGACCACGCAACTAGGGAAATGCTGGAGCAAAGATAATTAATGTATTTTTTTGGACAACTTGGTTACCATCACTCAGACCAAGTTCAGAGATTATTAATATGAAAATAAATAAGGAGCCAATAAAATATGACATACGAGAGAGAGTTGGAATGAGCGAGATTGACCTAGGCAAGCCTTGCTTTGTAGGCTTCAGTGTACCCATCCAACAAATGGCCTGCGTATTTCTCTAATTACCAGTATTTAATGATTACATTCTGAGTGATCATTAAAAGCACAAAAATTAAATTCTGAGAAGAAGAAGAATATCAGCTAACAGACTGGAACATCTGGCCTGAAACCTATCTGTCAATAGGTGCAAACTTAAACATGTTCCACACTTCGCATTTTCAATCCTCTCAAAAAAAACCTATGAGAAGCATTTTAGTTTCCCATTCATAGATGAGGAAATATAAAAAATTCAAATGAATCCTCCCAACTCTGGTAAATTTTAGAAATCAAACCAAGGTCTGGGGGTCTGTCTCATTCCTTGAGGCCACCTACTGGCAACCCTTTGCTTTTTCTTTTGCAAATATCACCTATCTCTTATTTCAGAATAGGCATTGTATTTGATAGTAATGAAACTTTTAAAAAAAAATTTAGCCTCCTAGCTTTCCAGTGAAATCTAGGCAGCTTTTCTCATTCATCTGACTTAAGACAGTTTCAAATATCTAAATATGTAGAGTTAACTACATAATATAGTGGGAGTTTTTGGGTGTAATATCCATTGCACGTGGTTTTTTTTTTTTTTTTTTTTTTTTTGGTTCTTGTTGAAAAAAACAACCATCCTCTACCCACTAAGGGTTGATTTATTCGACTGTTGTTCATGGCTAGGAAAAACTTAGAATGCTCAAAATAAGCAAAAACATTTCTGCAGCTGCCGCAGATGGTTGCTCCCTGATACTAAGTTGGCCCCAAACTCTGGCCAAGTAGTGCAGAAGTGCCAGCCTCAGCTTGAAGCCATTAGTGCTTTGAAGGGGTGCATGCCGAATGGGGGTGTCCTTGTGAAAATGCTGATTACTGGTAGAGTGCCCAGGCTAATCCTTGAAATCAGCCCTGTCTCGGGGCTCCTTGCAAGCACAAGCACCTTTTCTCATGCAACTGAAGCTGTGTGGAGCCGGGAAAGATGAGGTGTTAAGAGACTCTTAATGAGCCATGTTACAGATGTGTAAAACAGCTGGGGGGATGATGTCACAATGCTCTGTGATCACCCTGCTGCCTCTGCTACTTGCTCCTATTATTAGAAACAGACACTGGAGGAGGAGACCTAGAAGGCGTGCCATCCCCCTCTCTACCATTTCTGGTCCTAATTAGGTAGGTTGGGCGCAGCTGCTCCACTAAAGCTCACCAGGTGACTCCACACCATATAGGTTTATCTTCCAGTTAAGTCCAGCCCCAGCATGCCCTTGGAAGCGCCCATCTTTGGGGAAGGAGTGGATTTGGTGTACTTGTTACATGATAGGCCTGGCCTCTGGTTGGGTGGGGAATAAAACTAAATCCTTAAGAAAAAGATCTGAAAAAAGATGGCAATAAATCACAAACTTGGAAGATTTGCAATTAGGGGTGCAATTCTCAAAAGTGCCTGATGGCTGATGAAGTCAGACTTTGCCACGGCTGTGAATTTAAGGCTTGTTTTCCAAAACAAACATGAGGAATCATCCTGTCTTTTGCTAACTTCAAACATATATATCCTCCCCCCACAAATCTAGAAAAGCAACTATTTAAATGCCTACTATGTACCAACTGATTGCATAGAGTGTCTTATTTCATCCTTTAACAACCCACAAAAGACTGTTGTAGATAAAGTTGGACTCAGAGGTGAGACTGCTTATCTAAAGTCACACAGTGAGGAAGTGAAGAGAAACTTGAATCCAAGCCAGTCATCCTGCAGGCCATGTTCCTGGCTTCCCTGCCACTCCACTCACTTTTCTCTCTCCTACTCTCACTGTAATCCACATCCAGTTTCCTCATTACCTGTTATCATAGTACTGGATTTCCTCTCCTTCAGAATATTGCCCTCAAGTTTAATGACACATTTGTTAGGGTGATTAGATAAATCTTCCCCCATTAGATAGTATGCTCCATGAAGACAGAGCCCACATCTGATTTTGCCAACCATTTGTAGAAGTCAATTTTGTAGGTATCACCATTTGTCATCTCATCCCTTTCCTCCTGGCTAGCTGAGTTCTGGGGGCTACACTGCCTCCAAATGACACAAGGATAATGGTAGTCTAAGCTACTCATAGTGATTAACTGGGAAGATAGGTTTGAGGGCCAGTCCTGGCTGGGAAGTAGGATGGGGAGCCAGCTAGAGGAATTCTGGGGAAACTTTCTCTGTTCTTAAAAATAAGATCATAGAAAAGACCATCTTTCTTTTTCCTCTTGCCATTATTATATCTGCATGAGACCCTTGGGACTAGAGCAGCTGTTTTTGACCATGAGAAAAGCCAGCTCAAGAGCCAAGCTGTGGAGAGCAGAAGGGAAACAGAAAGAATGTGAGTACCTGATGGTGTGGAAGTTATGAGAGTTAAGTAACATTTATTTATTCATCCTGCTGCTTTTTTATTGAGTCACTACTAAATATTGGACAACAGTAAAGTAATAGTAAACATCAAAATGATTCCTGATCTTATGAGCTCCTTGTAGTGAGGAAGGCAGACACTGAATAAACAGGCATATTGATATACAATTGCAAGGAGTGATTCCACTATTTATTATTAATTGTAATTTATGATAATTATTAATCATTCAATATTTTAATCTTCTGATAATGTAGAGAAACTTGTATAATAACCCTGCAAGTCACAATGAACATTCTGGACAAAACAACTATTTGAAGGCAATGATTACTTTGTTACCAAAAGCAGACAGAAACTGAAGGGAATTGACTAAGTTTTTGCTATAGAATACTTCCTAACCTGGGTATCCCCGGGTAGCCAGAACTTAAGCAAAAAAGCCTCAGTCACACTGGCTTGAGGAGTCAGAGGATGGAGTTTGAGGCTTCCAGAAGATTAAAAAGTGAGAAGGAAATGCTGGATGGACAGAGGGGGCTACTGCAAAATATGAAACCTCAAAAGCATGCATTAAAACTCTGCTTCAAATTCTTTTTGATTCCCAAACTGTGCATACTGAAGGAAGATTCCAAGGTTCTCGGCAAAAAGCAACAGCTAAGAAGTTGAAGGCATGGAGCATTTCAGTTGTTATCCACCACAGGGGAGACTAAGCTTGAAATTTGAATTCAACCAAGTTAACTGCCTGTTGAAACAGAAAATTAACGCTCTTGGAAGGAATATAACAGAGTCCAGAGACCCTACAGTTACAGTTCAAAATCTCACATATACAACAAAACATACTGGATATGAAAAATAAATGGAAAAGGGTTACTCATTAAAAAGAAAAGTAATAGTCGATAGAAACCAATCCTGGGGCAATCCAAAAGTTTAAAATAAAATAGCAGAAGAACATTTCAAAGCAAGTATTATAGATATTGTCAAGGATTTAAGGGAAATCTTTGTCTTAATGAGAGAAAAGGTAGTGAGTCTCAGTCAATATACTGTAACTGTAAAAAAGGAGAATCAAATAGAAATTTTAGAACTAAAAACTATATTTAAAGTAAAAATTCACATAGTGGATTTAATAGAAAATTTGAGATAAAAATATAAAGAATCATTGAACTTGAAAATAGATAATAGAATCATGAAGTCTGTAGAACAGAGAGGAAAAAGAATATAAAATGAATAGGATTTCAGTGGCCTGGAAAAATATATCTAATGGCCCACCATGTTTACCTAACAAGTTAAAAAAAAAAAAAGTAAAACAGAAAGCTCCTCAAAATCCAAGCAAGATAAATATAAAGAAAATTATTCTCAGGCACACCACAGTTGAGCTGAAAAAAGCAAAGATAAAAAGAGAACATTTTTATAATAGCAAAGAAAAGTAACACAATACAAAGCAACAAGTTATGGGGTGGAGTGGTGAACAGCAGAAAAACAGCCTCTCCAAGATTTGATGTCCAGACACTGGAATATAGCAATGTGAGGAAGAGGAAGAGGGAAGTGGGACTCTGAGACCTAGCAAGATCTGAAGCAAGAATTAAAGCCCATGGAGAGAGAGAAGAGAGACTTCAATGAAGAAGAAGGTGGGAAGTGGCACTTTCTCCCTGAACCTGACTCACTGCATAGGAAGGGAGGCCAGAAGCTGAAGACACAAAGTGACTATAGTGACTCCAGAAGCCTCCATGGACAAATGCACCAGTGGAATAGAGCAGTGGACACAGTGCACTGCAGTGACTTGTGAGTTATTTGGGTTCAGACATCTTCTAGGAGAGGGTGAGTGGCCAATAGCCATCTTGGAGGGGGGCCAACTGAGCTCGGAACTTAGAGCGACTAACTGCTGGTTCCATCTAGGAGCTCCCAGTGTAAGGGTTAGGCAGAACCCATTTCAAGTCAGCAGAAGGTCCAGAAGCCAAGTTCAAGCCATCAGGCAGCCAAGTTCAAACCAGCAGGAAGCACACAAAGTGTTACAAGATGAACAAATTGGGTTCCAGCCTCACAACCAGTCACAAGCCTGAACTTCAGTGGAATTAAATGTACAGGCTTGCTGAGATTATCCGCTACCTCACCATATATCTATGGCTGGCTTGCTGAAATTAATCAACACAAATCTGGGCTCTGTCTGCCCAATTTGTCTACCAGTGACAGCAGAGACATACAGTGAAGTGGACACTTTTTTATATTTTCTTTCTTTTTTTTTCTTTTCTTGCTTTTGCTTTCTCTTTTCTTGATCTCGGTTCTATATGAATGTGAACATTGTTTCTAGTTTTTTAATTGTTGTTCTGTTCTCATTTATATTTCTTCCTTTTCTCTTTCCCTCCTGTCATCTTCACAAGTTTCCCAAAGTTTGTGTAATCTCCCTTTATCCTCCAGCCTTGTTTCTGATCTCTTCCTCTTTTTCTATTTCTCTATTTTCCCCCCAACCTTTAAAAATTTTTCCCCTGAGGGTAAATTCACGATATTGAGGGCATATTACTGCACACAATTTTCTGGTTTGTTTTAGATTTTGTTATAAAATCACAAATAGAGTTCACATGGCTAAAGGTAGGAAATCAATAGTTACCAGAGTTTGTCATTTTCTAGGCTGTGTTTGATGCTATTGTTATTGCTGATTGTACTACTTTAGCAAGGTGACATAATTGTTCTAATAATCAGTTGTTCTTCCTGGTATGTCAAAAGTGAGATTGCCTAAGGGTCATAAACAATAATAAAGGCCAATGCTAAAGAACCAGGGGCTAGGCTAAATATGCAGCAACTTCTCATTCTCAATAAATTGAAGGAGTAGGATCTTGCAACAGACTCAAAATACAAAAGCCAGCTACACTTGGAAGACATTTCTGAGGAATCCCTAAGGCTACATGCCATAAACAATTTACAAGCATCAAATCAGGAATTAAACTTTAAAAATAGAAAATGAGAACACATATAAGCAAGAACCAACCCCAGACTTCCAGCCCACCAAAGGCAAGCCCAGGGGACAATGAGATAGGACAATTTGAAAACAACCCACCTGGCCTCTCAGAAGTGGTAACAGTGGAACTAACAAAGCAGATGAATGAGGCTCTAGAAAAAAATCTCATCAGAAATAACTTACCAGATAACCACAGAGATGGTGATCATAATGAAAGACTTGGTTAGTGACTTAAGAGCAAATGCAGATATAAAAAATAGAAGAACCTTGGAAAATGATGGAAACGATTAATGCCCAACTTGGAAAGAAATTAAATCTATGAAACAGATTGAAACATATATCCAGGAGACTAAAACTTCCATTGAAAGAATACACAACAGAGTGAGTCAATGTGAGGACAGAATATCACGTATAGAAAATAGGATTGTGGTTAGTGAACATGAAAAGAAAGATTTCTTAAAAATAGCAAGGACCACAAAAAAATCAATCCAACAGCTGTAGATGGTGCAAAGAAGAATAACATAAAATTGAGTAGAGTTGATGAAAAAGCAGGAGACAGGACAAATGACATAAAAAAAAAACCTGTTCACAAAAGTAATGGAAGAAAATTTCTCAAGCATGGAAAAGATCTGGACATATAGATAAGTGAGGCATATAGAACCCCAAATAGCATGATAAAAAAACTACAAAAAAGCATATAATAGTGAAGGCTCCAGAAATTCAACACAAGAAGAGAATGTTAAAACCTGTTAGTGAAAAGAAACAAATCACCAATAGGAAGAAAAGGGGCAAATGGGAAGGAAGTGGGAGGGCTAAGGGAAAGGATAGAAGGGAATGGGATTAATATGAGAAAATGGAAAAATAGGAACAAAATTTTTGTAAATAGGGAGGGCTGGAG